GCTTGACAAACATGTTGGCCAGCACAGTTGTTGCTTTTCACAAGCTGTTGCAGGCGCTGCGAGATGGACTACACCTACTCCATGCTAAACTCTATACAATTGCGCTTAACGCATATTGTGTTTGTCAGCGGTTGCTTTGAGGGTGTCACCGGGCTAATTTATCATTTTTCGTATCTAATAGTTTAATAAACCGACACACACGAACACATATGCACAGGTCGTTCTTATGCTTGTGTGTGTGTGGATCTGAGCGCGCCAAGTGCATTTGTTGGCCTTTGTTTATTTAGCAACAACTTAATCTATTCGCAACCACAATCATAACCATAAATGTACACCCGTGCGCCGTGCACCCTCGACACGCATCATAATGCACCCTTCGCTATAGCCGATGAGCATTAGCCCACTCTGCGCTGCTTTTGGGCGGCGAAGCTAATACGTATCGAATTCACTTTCATATTTAATGCGTGCAAATATACTTCATAATGGCCTTTTCATAAAATTTTAGCAAAATTCAATAACTATACAAATATAGAACAACAAAAACAATCCGTCTCTGCAAAGACAGGCGAAATATGACAGCTTGTGCGGCGGCGCAACGAGTGCGTGCAAAATTTTCGAAATGAATTTTGAGGACCAACAATTGTTGGTTTCTTGGCCGGTGATGTTGGTGCGTGGCAAGTGTACAAACACCGACTGTACCATCCTGTTGAGGGTGTTTACTAGTTTTTGCCTTTCGTTTGGGATGACTTGTACACTGTTGATGTTGTTGTTCGGGTGGTGGTGTTGGTGTTGCAAGGTACTTGCTGGGTGGTGCGTCAGATGCTTAGTGCGGTAAGTTAAGGGGTTGCATGTACGTCCATGTAAAGTGCCTAACAAAGTTTTGCAATGTCAGGGCAGCAGGACGTCAGTTGGACGAATTCCCGTGACGATTAGCTGTTTAAAATAGCGTTGACATCGTTTAGCACTGTTTCAAGAGGTATAGAAAAAAATATTCAAGTTGATGATGAATCAAAAAATTATAAAAAAACTGTAATTATTTGAAGATGCTGACTTAGAAATGTTGGTTGTATTAAAAGTTATAATTTGCAATAGTCATATGCCATATTGGTCATACATTGTTGTAAGTGGAAACTATTTTATACCGTATAAGGTAGATAAGAATCGGGATTGAAGTTGAATACACGTCAAGCAAGTTTGTTTTAACTCTTTTGGTGTTATCGTAAATAGCAGATGTGAGGCACATTTTCGATGACTTCACGATCTTCACTGAATGATTCAAGCTACTCATTTACTTGTGTTCGTGATGAAGAGATCTTCTCAAAACCCTTCAGCAACATTTTCAACAACTATGTAGTCGTGATTTCAATGGAAACACACAATTTTAAACTGGTTCCATCTATTTTCCATGTTGAAAATTCCCTAACTAACTTTACGAGCCGTAAACAAACAAAAAAAATAAAAAAAAAAAAAAAAATGTGGGAAAGTATTTTTATACTCTTACAACATGTTACTACAGAGTATAATAGTTTTGTTGACACGGTTGCTTGTGTCACCTAAAAATAAGCTATGGGGTTATATACTACTGTGATCAAATTGAAAGCTGAATTTTGTCCACCTCAAAGCAATTCCCTCGCCTGCAATGCACTTATGCCAACAAATTTTCCAGTCATCATAGCACTTGAAAAAATCTTCCGTCGTGATCAGATCACCGCTTTTTTCGATTCAGCTTTTTTACGTTTTCACTAAATACTGACCTCATCTTTGAACAATAACGACCAGGTTGGTTCAGCGATTTGTATCAATAAAAGTTAGAGAGATTTTTATAGGTTTTATGTGAAAAATTCGTGTAATATTAACTCTGTTCACAGCCAAATAATTTGAGAACTTATCGCTGGTTATGACAATAATCCGGTATATGAATTATAATATGAATTTCCTTCGCCAAAAGTAATTTTTTATCGGTATCATATTACTGATAATTCTTTTCGTCCAAAATTGTTCTGCTAAAACTCAACGTTATTATTTTCTTCTTGCAAATTTCGAGATATCACAAAATAACGACGGATCTCAATGATGTTTAATATCGCGAAAATTGAACATAAATTGCCTCATTCATAAAAACCTACTGGAACTAATTATTCACATTTTCTATTCTGTATAATGTGAAATATTAATCCAATTTTTTAATTCACAACACACATCTAATGAAAGTATAAGTGTTTCTCAATGTCTTTAAAAACTATAATATATTGAAAATATTTAACGAATTTTTTATAAACCCACACCTTCAGAGGTAAGTCTACATTTTACGTATTTCCAAAACGGACAAAAAAAAATTTAAACTATCAACATTTTTTTTGTAACTACCACCATCATCGACTAGCTAATCTTAATATCTGCTCTGCGGTAAGCTGGGAAAACGCCAACTGTTTCCTTGTGATACAAGTAAGTAGGACAAGTTCGTCATGTCATCATTATTTCGACTCACTGAGCTTCTTTGCCGTTTTACGCACTTCGCCCTTACACAAACACACAAACAAATGCATCTAAATGTTGGATATGTACTTGCCGCTTTGGAACGCATGAAGAAAATTCGCAGAATAGAGTTGGGAAAGGACTTGGCGCCACACATTGACATGATGGCAGAAAGTTAATAGATGTTCATTGGCTTAAAACGTGCGTGTAAGGACTCCCAGTCTAAGGTACAGGACAGCGAACAACCGTAGAAATTACACTCATTGTGCATTAGCGATACCCATTGCATACCGTGGGCTGCAGAAAGGAGCGATTTGTTGTTTTGTTGGTCGTATGGTGGTTATTCGGTAATACGCCATATCCAGAGGGGCACGTACGTTTTGTGTTGAGCTTGCTGACAGTAGAAAGGTATACCATGCTGGGTTGCAGGTGCTGCTGATGTACACTGATTGCTTTCTACATGCGTGCAGTGGAGACTTGCCAGATTTTTATTTGTATTTAACTGACAGAAACATTTTACAAGCATGCAATTGTTTTGCTAAAGGAGATAATTTTTAAAGGTTTTTGACTTAAAAAAAAAAAAAGAGGACAACTGGTTTGATCCATATATTATAGTAAATGTAATTAAAGAAGAATTCAAATACTTTAAACCTCAGTTTCGAAATTTACTTTCAATTTAGTTTCAAAATATTTATACATTTCTTTGTCTGTTTAAAGGTAAAAAAAACTATTTCGAAAATGAAAAAAGTTTTCCATGCCACAACTTGATTTTAATCTCTCCGACGCTTCAATCTGAACTTAATACATATGGCTCAATATTACAGTATATATACTGATGTCAATATGTAATTAGGTTGTTAGGTTACGTTGTATACGAACAACATTTCACAAAGCCGAAGAGAATTGGTGACTAGTACTATAAGCGAAATAAAAATAATATTGCAGTATAAAATTTCATCCTTTCAAAGGCAAATTTTTAAACAAAAGAAAACATGTTCAGAAATATTAATATGCTAAAATAAAATAATTTTATAATTTAATTCTCAATTTCGAAACTATATAAAGGAATTTTTGAAAATAAATTTTGAAAATATTTTTGCAATGCTCGGTTTATTTTCACTTTTTTTATCTGGCAGCACTAAAAATTAGTCAACTAAATGCGCTACTTTAAATGGTTTTTAATTAAATTTGAGAGTTGCTAGTGGCGCAGTGGGTATTGTTGTTTTAAGCGATTAACTGAGGCGAGCATTTGACAAAAAAATGGGGTGAGTTGATGTACCGTTGAAAGGGTAGGATCATTTGCATGGCTAGCTAATTTATCAGTATTTTATCATTTGTTAGAATTAGTGACTGTCGATTTTTAATCGCAATGATTACAAAATTCGCGTAATTTGTTGTCTCGTGGCATGTGCTACTAAGGTTAAAGAGTATTTTTGAGGCTTACTCTTAATCTCTTTCAAACAATACTTTTAATTAAGTATATTTTACCTTAATCGTAAGAAATAGAAATTTAGCAATTGATTTTCGTTTTTTATTTTACCTTAATACACATCCTTGATGAATTTTCCAGATTTCCACAGTGAAGGTAGACGCGCAGCCAAAGAGCAATCAAAGACAGAAGCGCGTGCGTCTATTTTTTATGCGAATTTGAAGCTCTATTTTCAAGGCAGTCAAATTAATGTAATCACTTAATGCATTTGAAGCGCATCGTAATATCGGTCGGTTTCATATCGTTCACGCATGCTCACTTTGATGATCGCAAATGTGGCGTGCTAGAAGAGTGTCGAAGAGTATGTTTTGATAATCATTACATTACTTCATCTGTATGCTTGTATTTGTAGTCTGTTTCATTTATATATACATACATTTCATCATAATCTGTTAAACAACCACAATACACTGAGAGAAATATTTATTTAATAGGCTTGCTCGATTTTCACATAAAGTTTTATACAGAATTAAGATTTTTTCAAAAACATTAATCGGAACAACAATTTCTTTAGGAAATAGGAAAATTTCGAAGTGACTAAAAAGGAGGAGAAGGGTGTTACCAAAAGATCTCACAATGGAACCGTGTTCTCAGCTGTCCAAATGGATCCGTTTTTATAAGGAAAAGCTCCTGCTTTCATCAATTATACATAAACGTAGAAGATGTTTAGATACTCGGCTATACTAATAATGACGAATTGCGGAGGTCAATTTCTCCATTTTTTATGTTATGAGCTTTAAGAGGGTTTTCAAGCTATGGACAAACTTAGATACTTAACTATATGTGAACTCATTATGGAAGACAATGCAAAACATTTTTAAATTCATGAGATGACCAATAAGACAGCTTTGCCTCCAGGAGCTAAAATATCACTGATTTCGAACCGTTTAGAAGTCTTTTGACAATATTGATCAAAGCACAATTTTCTCAGTGTTAATGTCTTTATCAGTTTCCGAACTTCTTCGTCTGCTTTACTAGCCTCCAGCTGACCTTTGGTGCATGAGGATCAATCAATCGGTGTAATTCATCTAAAGCATAAAAGTGTGGCTGGGATGTCTTAGTTTATAAAATCAAATCCCCACTAGTTGCTCAAGTCAGTGCAATTTCAGTAGTTGGCAGCTGTGCGACTTTTCATAATTCTTTTTTCAGCAAAATAGATAAACGGAGCGAGGAGCTCTTCAATAAGTATGCCAAGCGTGCAGGTGTGTTTGTTGTAAAAAGTAGTGATACTTTTGGTGTTATGTAATAATATATTTTCTTAAATTTGCGTTATAGTTGACACTTGTGATTTGTTGCTTTTTCGGGATCACTTTCGCGGTACCACGTGGTTATCCAAAAGGTGGACCACCGGCACCGGCACCGCCACCAAGACCACCAGCACCACCTAGTGGAGGCTATTCGTATCCACCGCCAAGCGGTGGTGGTGGTCCTTTTGGTGGCGGCGGCGGTGGTGGTGCACCCGGTGCTGGTTCTGAGATACCAATCATCAAATTGGAGTCCAAAGTTAACATCGATGGTTCTTATCAAGTAAACACAGCTAAATGACACCCAAAAAGAATTGTGAATTAATTTTCAAATTATGATTGTAGTATGAATATGAAACCGGTAACGGCATTAATGCACAGGAATCCGGTTATGTGAAAAACGCCGATGATCCTTGTAATGCAGTTTTAACTGCGGAGGGCTCCTTCTCCTATACCAGCCCGGAGGGCCAATCATTCCTTGTCACCTATACAGCCGATGAGAATGGGTTTCAACCGCAAGGCGATCATTTGCCCACACCACCACCGATACCTCCAGAGATACAAGATGCATTGGATAAAATTGCTGCTGGTGGCGGACATCCTGGTGATGGTGGTGACGGCGGTAGCGGTTGTCCTAACGGCGGTGGCGGTGGCTGTCCTTCTACCTGCAATGGAGGTGGTGCCCCACCTGCTCCAAATCCTGGTTATCTTTATTAGGATTTCAATGTTATTCATATAAATAAATGAGTAGTTAACAGTTGTTGGGCGTCAGTAAGGTGATGATTACATAAATTTTAGTATTCCTTCGTTTGACTATTTTTAATACTAAAAAAAATATTGATGTAAATAATAAAGTAAATAACCTTTAATTAAATGTTGAGTTAAAAAAAAACAAGTTTTTCTTTATAAGGCGTAGCATTCGTGCAAAAAGGTGCATGACGAATCTGCCGGAGAGAGAATACAAACAAATTTTTTTTGGACTCGGTTCATTATGAAACATCCATAAAGTCCACTAATGTTTACTTTCGGGCTCATGCGTATTGTAAATTTAGGATTCATTATTTGCCACTATATCATAGACGCGTTTCGAAGCACCGTTATCGTATTATTTTAACATTTCACCGAACAATCGACTCGATCCTTTGTTTTTGTATGTTGGTCCCATTAATGCCTATAGCTGTCTAAATCTCAAGATAGGTCATATGACGATCTTTACTCACAGTATTAATAGTTTCCGGAACAACTTTGAACTTTGATTTTGAACGACCTTCAACAAATTCGTCTTGAAGTAATCTAAAACCACCATTTCACCAATATACACTGGTCCTTGATGGAGATGAATTAAGTCATTATGTTCATCGATGCACTGTTGACGAGATAATCTACGTCGAAAGTTGTAAAAACTAATCGTTCAAAAATGTTCGCGGTTTAATTTAATTTTTTGGCCGAAAGGAATATTTTAAGTTACTATAAACAACAGAAATAGCGCTCATATGTATGTCAATATTAAGTTTGCAAATGTGTTTCACTGTGAACAGACGTATTTTTTCTCTGCTCCTCGTTTTATTATTTATTCTGTATTAATGCCGTGTGCTTACGGTCATAGGGTTGATCGCGCTCAGCCCAAGATCAGCTGCCATAAGTGTAATCAATTCTTCCTCTTGACGTGTATGAATTTATCACAGGCTGATGTGGATTTTTTTGCTGAAATCCAAAAATGCTTTTTATTGTAAAGTGTGCGCGGTAGCTCGGAGAAATTCTATTCGTTCGCCGCCTGCGTCGCCATCAGTGCGTAATGCTCATTGTTCTGATATCTTAAATTCGCAACAACAAAACGCTGAACAATCAAATAGGGAATTATCTGGACCTTTGTTGGAGCCTAACAATCCAAATAAGGTAAATGAGTTGCTTAATTCTCTGGTGTTTGAAGTAAGTTCACTGAGAAGTGAACAATCGAAGGCGCTCACTTTAATACAACAATTATGTGATCATTCGTTAATCGTTATGCTTAACGATCTTAAATCAGAGATCTGCATTGTACAAAAGAAATTGTCCGATAACGGCAAGTTCTCTGCACCAGCTTCGAATGCTCTCTCCTGCTTCCGCCACTCTTACTGCTGGGACTGCTGTTGATTAAAATGCTTCTCTGTCTAACACTGCTATTTCTGCTGATAATGTGAGAAGCTGCTTCAACTGTGGTTGGTGTTAATGCCAATTGTGATCTCGATGTCGTCATACCTAAGAAATGAATCCACTTGTCTGCCTTTAAGAACTCAGTCACTGAAGAAGATATTATATCTTTTGTTGTTAAACATAATGTTGGGAAAGAGCATCTTTTATGTTATAAATTAATTAAGAAGGATACTTATATTAATAATCTTTAGAGTATAAACTTTAAGTTAGTGTCCCCATCTTTTTTAATGCCGTTTTCTCTTCTTCAGTGTGGCCTTCTGGCATTAAGTTGCGTTGCTTCAAGTTTTTTCCAAAGGGAAGGGAAAACAGTGCTGTAGATTAGATGATGAGTTTTCTGCACATTCCTCAACTGGCTCTTGTCTTAAGGCGTACTACCAAAATTTATCGGGTATTAGGTGTAAATCAAATATTATTCGCAACTTTGCTTCACATTTGGGCTTCGATATTATCATTATTGCTGAGACTTGGCTGAATTCTAGTTACTTTGATAGTGAATATTTTGACTCAAATCTCTACTATGTCTTCCCTAAGGACAGAGATCATGAAAAAACTGGCTGTTTAAGAGGGGGCGGTTTTAGCGATTATTGTATGTCTGCATTCTCCGCTGGATTTCAGGTAGATTGTGTCTACACAGATTTCTCTAAGGCCTTTGATAAAGTTTCACACAATATTCTAATTAAAAAACTATCTTCTTTAGGGTTTCATTCGGTTTTCTTGCAGTGGATTAAATCATATCTGCACAATAGACGATGCGTTGTCAGCGTTGATGGAGTGTCATCTGATACATTCATTGCGTCCTCAGGAGTACCACAAGGAAGCGTCTTGGGTCCACTTCTCTTTGTGCTATTTATCAATGACATTTCCTGTTGCTTCTCTTTCGCTAATTTTCTGATAAATGTTCTCGCGTCTCTTATGGTAGGGGACGTAACATCTTATCCATAAGTTACAATATTTCTAATTGCGTCCTAAAATGCGTTGCTGAAATCAAAGATCTTGGATTAATCTTTGACAACAGATTTTCTTTCAGTAGTCACATCAACTATATCACTTCTAAATCATTCTCTGTACTCGGCTTTGTCCATCGCAATGCTTTAAATTTTTCCGACTMCTACACGTTGAAATTACTGTATACATGCTTTGTTCGGTCCATTTTGGAGAACTCAGTGTTCATTTGGAGACCACATTGCATATCGTCAATTAATAGGATCGAGCGTGTTCAAAAGATTTTTCTTAAATTTGCTCTCCGCTCCCTATAGTTTGTCGACCCCATACCATCGTATACATCTCGTTTATTGCTTTTACATCTTAAATTACTAGATAATCGACGGTCCGTTCTCTACCTTTCATTTGTTTTCAATGTAATTAATGGAGGTATTGACTGTCCCTATTTAATAGGGAAAATTAACTTCAAAGTTCCTCTACGTCGTCTCAGATCTATTTCCCCATTTTATTATAAAAAGGAAAGTACTAACTTTGCTGAATATGCTCCTCTCAAGCGTGCTATGCGTGAGTTTAACTCGATTTCCGAGAAAGGTCTTCTCGATTTTTCTCACTCTAGGGTATCCTTCATTAATACCCTTAATTCTGTTTTTTAGTTTAAGTTATCTATCTATGTAATTGTAATTAAGTTTTTTTAGAGTTCTAATTTGCATCCTAATTTCTCCATTAGTCTGTAAGAATTAATGTTCATAGACTTACTAAATAAATAAATAAATATGTATAACACCACAAATGTCGAACTTTACGATACAGTTATGAATGGTCAGATTATAACACTATAGTCACCAAATTTCGAAATAGAAAAGACATGCTGTTCTTAATTATGGATATGTCCCAACACAACTGAACAGCTATATGCTATACCCATGCAAAATTTCTGGAAGATATCTCATCAAACGAATGCATTTTCATTCAATCTATTCTAAAAACTGAGAAACTAGTACTTATTTAAACACACAGGCGGACGGTCATCGAAACAGGCCTCACTCTGAATATTTATATACTATATATACTCTGACGTTTGCTTTTCGTATCACAAACAATATACCCGGTTCGGGGTATAAAAATGTTCGCTTTGACTGCATCGAAGCTCTAATACCCTTCAAAAGTGTATAAATATGATATAAAGAGATCTTTGTTTTGATTTTGATGGATCTGTTTCTATGGGATTGGTATTATATAGTGGTTCGATATCGGCTGTTCCGATGAGAACAGAACGTGTTCAAAATTTCAGACTGATATCTGGGACTATTTCGCAGACACACACAGGGATAGGGTTAAATCAACTCAGCTCGTCACGCGGATTTGTGTATATATTTCATGAGAAATTTAAATACCCATTTTGGGGTACAAAAATGCATATATTTTTTGAATTCTTTTTACTCTTTTATTATCATGAACCAATATAAATTCTCTCACTTGCTTTTCCCACGCTTTCAACGCCAAAAGATTAAACAATTTGTTTGCGAATATACGCCAAGTTAAGATAAAATAATTCATTGATTTTCCAATATTAAACAATATGAAAATGCCACAAACAAGAGTAGTTGCGTTCTACAATCAATTTACGCAACAACTACGCCATAAGTCAGTCGTTGATAAATGAATTTCTGTACAAATTTGTTCAATATTCGATTTGGATATAAATTAGCTGATTTAACAAAAACAATAAATTTTAACATAAGCAAATACCAACATTTAATTTTACAAATATAAATAAATAGTAAGAAAAATGTCTCTCAATAAGCCAACATATCAGGGTGGTTCTTTTTACTATTGAAAAAATGCAATAATTTGAAGTGATGTTGTTTAAAAGATTTTCATATCTGAAACATCCGGAGAGATTTGACTATGTGTAATAAGAAATTGTTCATTGATCTGTGATTATGTTTTATGCAGTTTTTTTACCTTCAGTGTGATATCAATCTGCCATAATCTGTCATATATCAAAATGAAAGTGTACGAAAAGTAATGAATGGAAAATAATAATAACAATTGCTAAACTCTCTTGAAATACTATACAGATTTTCAATGAAATTTTGATATTATTTCATCTTTTTTTTTCGGTTGAAATTTCGTCACCCTAATGCTTGGATCAATAAATGTATTGTTTTCTGTTCTGAGGCATATAACGACCATATGTAGTTATGTTGTTTGTAAGTAATTGTATTTACAAAAGGGGAAACTTAAAATTCAATTGGCATTTCGCAAATCTTTTGTTTTCTTTTTATGCTCTTGAAGAATGAGTGGACGATCATTTGAATTTCTGTTTCTTGTATTATCTTTTTTTCTGATTGCGAATCTCTCCGCCTCTAGATGTATTGTGGCCGGTCTGGAGAAACTTGTCTAATAAATAATGACGTAATCTATTATTATTGTATTTCGCTGGTTTAAATGATCCATTCACTGGTGGCTTATGCTCATGCCCATTAGCATAAGCTTTAAGTGAATTCAAAACAAAAAAAAGACACACATACACAATGTTATGAACACATTTCTTAAGAAAAGGCAAATATTTAAGCGGCATTTTCTACGATTATGTGTGTGTGCGTGTAAAAAAGTTGA